CGCTTTTTGTGGTGAATGTTCTGATCTTTGTTAAATAAAAATCGGCCGGTAATTTTTGGGTGATATGAAGTTGGCTGTCGTTTGAGTCCGTGTTTAACCTTGAAGGGTGACCTTGAGAGGTCAGGACTCTTTAGCGGACGCTAGTTCTTTTTGTGTTGAATGTTTTTATCGTTAGAAGTTAAAAATGGGCCGGTAATCTTTGGGTGATATGGGGTTCCCCGTCCTTCGAGGCCGCGTTTGACCTTGAAGGGTGACTTTGAGAGGTCAGGACTTTTTGACGGACGCCAGTTCTTTCTGTGATGAATGTTCTAATGTTCGTTAGTTAAAAATCGGCCGGTAATTTTTGGATGATTCGGAGTTTCCGTCCTTCGAGCCCGCATTTGACCTTGAAGGGTGACCTTGAGAGGTCAGGATTTTTGGACGGACGCCAGTTTTTCTGTGTTTAATGTTCTGACATTTGCAAGTTGAAAATCGGCCGGTAATTTTTGGGTGATATTGAGTTCCCCGTCCTTTGACGCAGCTTTTGACTCGGAAGGTCAGATGATATTGCAAAATAAGGGCCATTTTGGTGTCTTCACGCCACAATTGACCTTGAAACCATTTTTTCAGGGAAATTGGAACTCGTCGCTGTAAAAATCGCTGAATAAATCGCTATCTTCACGGACATTTGGCGTTATGGACAATCAGCTCGGCAGAGGACCAGTATCTAAATGTTGGATGGGGCTCTTAAGTTTGTTGGATGCACCTAACGCAGGTTCACCGAACAACCATTGTTCTTGGTGTGGGGGGGGGGGATGGGGGCACTGGTGGCTCCAGAGTTCAATTTTAAGTCTGTTTATTGGAACGATCTTCCTGCACATATTGAGCACGAGCTGTGGTAAACCCTCCTCCATTGATTTGCTATCTGGGTACTTTGGTCCTTCAGTCTCCTTCAAAATGGAATCTCTGGTTGATTTTTATTAGATTCCTCATAATAAATACCGTGTCGCTCCCAGCTACGTTCCCCAAACCTTTCGTGTGCTCGAAATGATTGCCATAGTTTCCCGCGTGCACGATCATCTCCTGGTCGAAGTTGTCTCTCCAATGACGTCACATAGGGATGCTCGCTGATAAGCGTGAAGTGTGGACGGTGCCACCTTGCATATATATGGCCCAGTCCAGGGTTACCGTACTTCTGCAAGTTTGGACGGCGGTGCGCTTGGGCAGCGCGCTCGGGTCGCGTGATTGGTGTGAGAGAGTATCAGGTGTAGTTGGAGGACACCAGTGTGAGTGGTACCATGCATTGTGTTGCATTCTATTTTTACCAATGTTTTGGTGGGAAACGTTCGCCTAGCATTGCAGGCGTAGAGGTGACTCATGGAAGGCGGGGTATTCCTCAAGTACTTCACCTTTTTTAGAAGAAGAAAAATCAACCGCGAGTGTTGTACGCGCAGTACGAAACGGGCGTAACCAGCTCGCGTTAGCAGAATTGCCTAACTTTGAAATCATGCAACCCAAACGAAGTCCTTAGCATCAAAAATAATGAGGCAATTAGCATTACGCATTTCGTCGTTTCGACCATTGGCACCCACAATGCTCGTATGATTGCCTACCATTCTCAAGAAATGATCATCTGACACTGTCATAATTTCAGCAACAAACCAGTAGCGTGGTTTTTAACACACAGACAGCAGACGGTTTATGACATGTACTTAAAGGGCAACATAATGACCAAATCACGGACGTACGAACAGCCAAGAAAATATCTCAGCTCTTTACATTCGTGTCTCAAATTCTTTGTTGATGCCCTTAACCTTCGTACATACTGTAATTTTGACCATTTTTCTCAAATATCTGATAATTTACGGCCCATCGCGCGCAGACGGCCCAATGCCAGAAAGGCGCATTCACTCTTACCTTATTATTGCGCTTCTTGTGCCTCCTAAATTATTTCCAGTTGCGAAACTTGAATTTGTATTTCCAAATAGACCACACAAAGAGCTAACAGTGTCGGTGGAACTGAAACACTTCCAGCAATCTTAAAAAAAACTGACCAAGCCCCGGGAGCCGAACACCGAAGCGAAGCCAATATTTTCGGAACGGCACATATGCGTCTATTAGCGCACTGTATTCATACACGAGCCCGGACAATGCGATTCAGACTTATTGGAAATAATCGCATCGCGCGGACAATGTCGTTTAAGCTACGACACTTAAATTCAATTAATATGACTACTCCGTTGCCGTGATATGCTGCCATCATGTCGTGCGGAGGGACTGTGGTAGCACCCTCTTAAAGTAGTGCACTTTTTGTACAATTCCAGTAAGTGAGACATGAAATCGCTCCGACATTCAGAGACATACTCTACCGAGATAATATGCCAACAACAGTCCTAAGGAAATGGACCAAGCCCCGGGAACGGAGGACTGGAGGAAGGCCAGCGCTTTCGGTACGGCACGTATACGCCTATCAGCGCAGTGCACATCATACACGAGTCCGGATAATGCAATTCACACTTATTGGAAATAAACACATCGTGCTGACAATGTCGGTTGAGCTGCAACACTTCGGTCCGATGACTATGACTCATGCATTGTCGTGAGATGCCGCCATCATGTCCATATAATGCAACTCACACTTACTGGAAGTAAGCACCGCATCGTGCTGACAATGTCGGTTGAGCTGCAACACTTCAGTCCGATGACTCTGACTCATGCATTGTCGTGAGATGCCTCCGTCATGTCGTGCGGACGGACTGCATTAGCACCCTATTAAAGCAGTGCACCTCTTGCATGAGTTCGATTGGCGAGCCCTGAAAACCACTCTGACGTCCGTAGACATACTCTACCGAGGTAACATGCCAATAGCCATCCTAAGGATACGGACCAGGCCCCGGGAACCGAACGCTGAAGCAAAGCCAGCGTTTTCGGTACGGCACACATACGTCTATTAGCGCAGTGCACCTCACGCACTAATCCGGATAATGCGATTCACACTTATTAGAAATAAACAGCGTGCTGACAATGTCGGTTGAGCTGCAACACTTCGGCCCAATGACTATGAGTCATGCATCTCCGTAAGATGCTGCCATTATGTGAGGACGGACTGTAGTAGCACCCCCTTAAAGTAGTGCACCTCTTGTATAATTCCAATTGGCGAGACCTAAAGACCGCTCTGACATGCAAAGACATACCCTACCGAGATACTATGCCGACAGGAATCCCAAGGACGGAAGCCAAGCCGCGGAAACCAAAGAACGAATCAAAGGCAACATTTTCGGTGCGGTACATATGCGTTTATTGGTGTGGGGCGCCTGAAACAAGAGTCCTTATAATGCGATTCACACTTACTAGAAATAAACACATCGTGCCGACAATGTCGGTTGAGCTGCAATACTTTGGTTCAATGAATAAGTTGTTATTTTGTTATTGAATCCCTTTGCTTTGTTTTGTTTTAAAAGTGCTGTGGAGGGAAAGTGAAAAGTGTAGCATCAAATTAGTGGTGTTAATAATTTTTTTATGCCCATAATACTGTCATGAAATTACTATGCTTTAAAACGCGCCCGGTTGGCCGACTAGATACCCTTCGCTCGGTGGGGGGGGGGGGGGGTCAATTTGCCCCTCCCCCTCAGAGATCTCGAGAACTACGAAAGCCAAAGACGCGAAATTTACAGGGTGTCTTGACCTATGCGTGAACTCACTTAGATAGGGTTTCAGCTTCCTAGGTCATGACCTTCAGGTCAAATAAGGTCAGACAAGATCAAATTCCAGGTTGGTCTCCAAAGCGCCCCCGAACCTAGGCAACTGTCTCCAAGCAAAAGGTCACAAGCCCATTTGAGGTCATTGACCTCGTTTGACCCTTTGGAGGTTATGGTGACCAAAATGATACAGGACTGCTCTGAGTTTTGCATTCGAATAAGCGACAAAGATTACGCTAGGCAGTATGTTCCCGAAACAAAAAGTTCGACCCGGGCCATCTTTGGTCAGTTTGCTTGTTCTGACCTTTAAGAAGTCAATTAAAGATGTATAATGCGGTTCTTGCTGTCAATAAATTCAAAATGAGCACCAGAAACTATCCCATACATCAAGCCCTAAAGTAATAAATCAGGTTGGTTTTGACCTCGGATGACCTTCATACCCGACCTTAGGTGAAGTAGTCTGCTCACTAAATATTTGTGATGCCTAAGAAAAGACATCTCAAAGATGTATGTCTCCGTAAAACACTCCGTTGTTGAGATTGAACGATTCCCTAGAAATTGCCTTCGCTGAAACCATGACCTGACGTTGACCTGTCATAGGTCAGCGACCTTACAAGGTACATTTAAAATTTGCGTGCCAAGCGATTTGCTACGCAATTTTCTACAGCCATGTACAATTTGGCGTGACTGCGCTGCGACGTTCAAAAACCATTCGGGAAAAATCCTCGGGGGGGGGTCAGTTCGCCCCCCCCCCCCCACCCAAGTGTGTTAAGGTATTCTGTTTCACTTTAATGGACCAAGATGTTAAAAAACGAATTAGTTTTGTCACGTTCCTGAAGAGAGAGAGAGAGAGAGAGAGAGAGAGAGAGAGAGAGAGAGAGAGAGAGAGAGAGAGAGAGAGAGAGAGAGAGAGAGAGAGAGAGAGAGAGAGAGAGAGAGAGAGAGAGAGAGAGAGAGAGAGAGAGAGAGAGAGAGAGAGGCGAGGGAACGGATGGTGGTGAAAATGAGCAAGTGATGATGGCCGGAAACTGATGGCCGGCATTACTTATATTATTTGTGTAGCTGGGTCTGCGCAAAAGGATAGATGTCCCCCTGGGGATCTGGCTTTGCCATCACACGCGCAGACCAGCCCCTGGCTGCTCCCGCTGGAACCGAGCGTCATCCGCGCCCATGACGCCACTCACTGCCAGCAGGAGTCGACATCGTCGATCTCAGGGTCGCACCGTGGGGCCCTTTAGTCCACACCCAATGTGCCATATTGTGCCTAGTATGAGCCATGGCACCGCTCTATCCATAATGTTGGCTCGTCTTGGACATTTTCAGCCCACACCGTCTGCGCCATGCATCGACTGTTTGAGGCTCCTTCGCACGCAAAGGCGTATGCAGAGTTCCGGCCTGTTCCACCAGCGTCTCTCATCAACGTTATTGTTCAAGCTGTCAAGGCAAGGCTGCATGCTTAACGCAATCTAGATTAGATCCTGTAGATCATTTCATATTTGTTAAGAAAGCTGCAAATCTTGCGCATTGTGCACGTTATATTCATTTCAGTCATAGCATTTGATGTTCGAGCAGTAAAAATGGGTGAAGAAATACCGTTATTTGTCGTAACAAACAGGCACTATTACCAATGTATGTATCGGCATGTGTGTTGTGAAATGCAACATTCATTACATTATTGACAGCGTGCATTAATCTATTATGACGTTTTTATTAAATGCAAAACTGAATGGGCTGTGGTGACTTGCCAGTAAAATGAAGGCTTCAGAATTGTTGTATTTCCCATAACCTTACTGTATTTGTATTCCTCTTGCTGGTCTGTTTGCCAAACACCAAATGTTAACTGTTGAGAATGCACGTCACTGGCATGGAGTATCCACAGGAGAAGGTACCGTTGGATCGAGCACTTGATGTCGGCTGCGGCAGTGGACAGAACACCCGCTGTCTGGCCTCCCATTTCCGTTCCGTGCTGGCCACGGACATAAGCCCAGCGCAAATCAAGGAGGCGACTGCCAGAAACACCTTCGCGAATATCGAATACCAGTGAGTTAGACAAAGCAATGAACTGCAGTGCGTTTATCTTTTTAATCGATCGTTTAAGCGGTAGTCACAAACTGCTCGGCGGTAATTTGGCATAAGTGTTGGCTTCCCCTCCCCTAACACATCTTATTGCCACAGAGATCAGCTTCGACTGTGGCAGATAACACCATGAAAAACTACGTAAAGGACTCAAGCGCTCTCGTCAATGGACTTCCGACAACCCTGTTAATCCTGCCGAATGATACACGAAAGAAACAACGTTCGTTCTTCTCAGTTAATATGGATGACACGTGAATGCGTCAAACTAAAAACATTCTAAAGGACGAGACAAGTCGATGAAGTTCAACGCTATATCTGGAAAGAAAACATGCCCTGATCGCACCTAACTTCCGGAGAAAGGATCTGGCACAACCGAAGCAGTCAAATGGCGGAAAACAGAAAACAGAAGCATGTGATCTGAAGCTCTTCTGAGCCCCCTCAGTGCAGATGAACAAAGAAGGAATACTGGACCCAATGCAAATAGAACAATTCTATTAACTTTTGGTATACTAGGCACTGGAAAATTGAAGATATCGCTTAACGTGTCGTATTAATTTGGAACCAAATGATGCCCTATAAGTACGTAACTTTTTTCTCATACTAACTCCTTCATATGTTGAGGCAATCAGCAAATATTAGACAAGTTTTTTTTTCTCAAATGACTGCGTCTGAAAAAATGTGCAGGGGCAAGATAAAAGTTAACGTATGTATTTCTCAACAGCGGCAAATGTTTATGTTCCATAATCGTGGCTGCGGTGGTCACACAACACGATCAGCGGCCGCGATAGTCATCAGTGATCCCTTACTAAGATATACTAAGATTTTTTGTAAACTATACCCCACCCTAAGCCTTTCACAAAGAGGCAGCTGACCTTACCTAAAGATCGAAAGTCACTCCTCCGTAGGAAAACAGTTTAGAATATGCAAAAACGTCAAACAAGTTTTTTAAGCTTGAACATCGAGGACGAAAATTCAAACGGTCGAGATCCGAGGGGAATTTTAGGTTTGGAGTTAGGTCAAGTCAGCCTTTTCGGCTGAGCTTCTCCAATCAATTTTAGAAAGCGACACTTTTGGCTGCGATAACCATTTGCTTGTTGGTTCTGCAGCGCTGAGATGGGGACTGGAAAACCCTAATCAGAAGACAGAGCCAGTCAAACACTTTGACACTAGCCCCATGAGGCGCTACGAACGAGCAACTTACTAGGTGGGCTTGAAAAGACCAAGGTCCGAGCAAATGTTTGAAATTTAGTGCAGCTGAAGGTAAATGACATCATAATCGGCACAAATATTTCAAGTGGTGTATTTTCTCAACCTGGTCGTGAACGACCTGGTTCCAATCGATAATAAGCGGAAATGATGCTTGACATAAACAGGTATGCACGTGGAGGCTGCTTCTTGGAGGACTTCTCGTTCTCCGAAATATGAGATAGGAATCGCCTGTTCACTTTCGTAAATGGTTAGCCACTTCGGCTTAAATTAAGCCATCTGCTCGTTCATTCATTACAATCATTTTCATCCAGGGAAAATTTTGGAAATAAAAACAGTTCTCATGCAACGCACAAATGATACAATCATCTAAGTATACGCGTTATGTAAACATCAAGCAGTATATCAAGCATGGCAAATCAGATATCACGACGGCACCACGTGCTCGTCACTGCTGTCTTTGATTTACTGCTCACTTCGGCACATTTCTGGCATACGCGCTATGGAACACTGCGAAGCATTTTGAACAGATAGCTACAGCGCAGCCTGGTACGGAGCATGCTGTGCCTTTCCGCCTCTTGCGCACTACGCGTCGATGTGGCGGGTATTTCGTCTTGATTGTTACGGGCAGTCGTAAGGGCTGGTGCTTTGAGGCCATGACAGGGGCTGCTGTCTTTGAGGCCATGACAGGGGCTGCTGTCTTTGAGGCCATGACAGGGGCTGCTGTCTTTGAGGCCATGACAGGGGCTGCTGTCTTTGAGGCCGTGGACGACAGGGCTGCTGAGCAGCCCGATATGAATGGCCACCTCAGCAATCTCTCTGCGTGAGACAGGCATCTCTCTGTCTGCTTTATGTGTGCCGTACACATTATACAGACCTGTCCGCATCACTCCATGGAACGCATTTTAGTCCATCTTAGATATCTGCACAGGTGAGAAGAGTATGACAGGTTCTGGTCCACCTGATCGACACCCTCCATGCCATGATTGTACACCACGATGCACTCAGGTTTGTATCAGATTTTTCCTCTCTTTGATGTGACAGATATTGTCTTGACGTCACGTTTTGTTGTTATAACGGTAACGATTTTTCTGTTCTTCCGGGACAAGATTTGACAAGCACCGTCCGTGAATGCGCAAATCTCGACTCGGTAAAAGCTTTTGTGGACTCATCTAAGCGAATATGACCTTTTGGTTAGAATATTTAACTTGATGGCACTTTAAAACCGTGTGCTAGCTTTGATGCACACGCATTTCACAACACAATTGTACACAGAGTGTTGGATTTTTGGTCAGTTTTGACAAGTAATTCAACAGGGTTTAACCCATTGGACAGGCGCGGTTATAACACGTGGCTTGTATGTAACTTTGAGACTGGTGCTGGAAAAGCTTGCCCAGTAGACATATCAATGTCCACGCTATGCGCACATGATTGACGCTTGCGATATAGAAAATTACAAAAGTCCGACGCCGCCTTATATCAGCATTAAGACATGCTAGTTGCCAGTTGGGCACCTGCGACGTATATAACTGCTTACCGCAATGGTGTTATCTTGTACATCCATGACCTCTATACATCTGGAGACTCCGGTAATGGAATCATACGTGGGAAATCATCGCAGACGACCAGCACACCGCACCGTATACATAATGACGTCCAACGCTAGAAGCCCTTGCCATTGTACGCCCAAATGCCTCGCAAAAATACTTGTCTAGTGAACTCTGGTTCCCTATTGGCGTGTCTTCCCGGACAGCCTCGCTCCACGGCTTCTGCACTAACACTAGCCGAGGAAGAGGAATCTAAAGTGTCTGAGCTTCAACCTGAATAGGAGTCCGCGCACAGCTCTTGGTACACGGCCTCCGCACCCAAAGACACACGTTATCGTTCATTCGCCATGTCATCTACGCAGCCCGCTCGATTTCAATACGCAATGGGTTGCGCAAGTGCAACGTTGGGAGAGTTGCTTTTCCAGCGGAGTCAAAATGTCAACCGGCATGGTGAAGATACTTTCCGAAGCCATGCTGTGTGCTCAGTTGTTGATGGATGGGTGCAGAACAGCCTTTAAGGTTTACAATCGGATATTACCAGCAGAGCTGCTTTGGAGGTGTTTGCCTGACGGTGGCGACCCCTGACAAGCTTAACCGCTTTACCGCTTTCACTCGGTGGATTTCCTTTGGAATGTTATGATCTGAGCGCTATCTGCAGAGGCGGTTTGCTGACAGATGGCTACTTCTTGCGCACTAACTTTGGACGTCCGGCTCTAACACTGGCTGTTTTTTTAGGTCGCTTTAGCTCATGTCTAATTCTCTCAGTTTCACTCCTTTGAAACACGTCACATGGGAAGTGGACATAACTCCTTCTGACTCGACCAGGTCTTACACAGGATTACGGATTTCCTTATGGCTTTCCAGTGTTGTGGCTTAAGCGGAGAGGTATTGAAAAGACTACTGTAGACAGCACAACGCTCCGTTTAGTAAATATGCCCCTCAATGCGTCATGGATTGGTTTACATCATCGTTACTTGCACAACATTGATTGTGAGCCAATTGGCGGCCGTTATGTCTGTAAATCGCGCTCACGTACGCCAGATATGATCACTTTGACCATTATCTCTTTCCTAAGCCTTCATCGCCGCATGGCGTATGGAACGGCAAGATTTGAATGACGTTTTCATGGCGTCATAAATGCTTTGGCGATTTTGAAATACTCTCCACGGTAAACCTTGCCCACCTTCTCGGTCGCGTAGCTCAGAAAAGAGAGAGGCTTAAGTCTTAAGAAGGGTAGGATTGCGAACAGCACAAAAAGGTCGTCAAGATGGCCATTTCGGTTCAAAATTCGATAAAAGTGGAGCACTCCCCACAAACTTTTACTCTTGCCCACCATCAGGATTTTTATCAAAATCCAATGTCCCCATCGTGTAAGGTGGAAGAAAACGTATTGCAGAAAATCATCACGGTAAATAGCACACCGGCTGCCGAAAACAACCAGCTAAGAATAGGACAACTAGAAGTCTTGTCATCAAAGAACAGCCTCACAGCAGGCGAAAACCACCAAGAAAGCGTGTCGATATAGGGTTTGACTGCGCGCGCGGAGACTGCCGGCTACGCAACTCAGCCTATACTGGAATGACTACGACAGCTCCATCACGGAGCGTGACGGTGCACATGTAGGAGGGAACGCCACACCAATATATGTGCAAAACCCACAATCAAAAACTCCCACGCTGTGATATATCTGATAACATACTGATTCTATAATCATGCCCTAGCAATCGCCGTTTACAGGTTATTGAAGCCACACTTATAAGAGGAAGAACCCCGACAAAAACAAACAGTTCTGGTCATGCATCATCTTGGATCTATTCAGTCGCCCAATGACAGGAGAGTGATTCAATGTCTTGAATTTGCCATGGTGTCAAACTGGCTGGATAAACAGTAAAACTCGATGGTCAGGACAGCGGTCGATATAATTTATGTAATCCGTCAACATTTCGGCACAGCTGTGGATCATCACCAAGACACAGGGATATAAAGTTACAGGAAAACAAAGGTGCATTCAGCAGACATCACCAGACATCGCTGTGCCATGTCATCGCCAGACATAACAATGGTCATAGTTAACACAGCTAAACACTTCTCTCCGCGCGAACAAAACGGTCCGAAAACTACGAAATCATGCGACGAAAGATCTTGTAGACTCGGCGTGGAAAAGTTACCGCGTAATCTGAAGAGGATATGCAGACCTCATGATATTCAAAAGGCGGCTTCATTTGGTAAAGATGAAGCGATTCTGACATCCTAAGACGAGAGAAGTACTGCAAGGCCGAAATATGGAGACAAATCAATGTTAAAGCGACTGCCACACTACATGAACGGTCTCGGATGGGTAAAGAGCCTGGGTTAGGAAGAAGGTTTCCTGTAAGGTCAACTCAGCAGCCCACTCGAGTTCGATACGCTATGAAAACACAAAGTGTAACGTTGAGCGAGTTCCCGCTCTAGCTGTGTCGTAACGCCAACTGACGTAGTGTAGATTAGATACGCAACTTTTCAGCCCGCCAACCCGCCAATGTCAGACCCGTAAGAGCCCATGGGCTTTTAGCTGGGTTATGGGTCAGGTCTGGCGCTCTTTTGTGGGTCGAAAATATTAACAGACAAAATAATGCACTTTTTTGCTATTCCTGAAGTTTTCAAATCATCTACAAACCGGATTGTGCTACCAAAAGCTAAACAATTATGAAACAAAAAGTATATATATATATATATATATATATATATATTATACAGCAAGAGCGCCAGTGGCAGAAAAGCCATGACAGACATAGCACACCAGTGAACAAGGTTGTGAAAATTGAACAGCTCTATATTGCCACTTATTTGGACCATTCTCTCACGGTATAACCATTCTTACTAAATGCGTTCGTCACCCATTATTTGTCTCATCTTATGCACCATAAAATGCATGTTACGTGTCTTATTTCAATAAGAAATAGCGGAACCGTGATTTGCGCCACCACAGGACAGCATTGAGATGAGCATGGAAAAGTGTATAGGCTGGTTCAACCTGGAGTTTAACTATTTCGAAGAAATATTTTGAGAGCCTTGTAATAGCATGCTTCTTTGCACCTAATTGTTGTCGGCTACCATGTGCTGCAGCTGACGACACTCTATATATAATTTGAATGTATAGCAGATGCTGGTGCCGAAAGCAGAGACACTTCTCTTGAGCTCCTCAACCGCCTGAGAGTCTTCGTTTAGTCCCTTTATTCGCCGCCGAGAAGTTTACGCTCCACTCGCTCGCTTTTGCCTGGAAACCGATTGTTTCATCTGCTCCCTACCGTCAGGCAGTCTCCGTTCCGCCTGCTCCCCACCGCCAGGCAGTCTCTATTCCGCCTGCTCCCCACTGCCAAGCAGTCTCTGTTCCGCCTGCTCCCCGCCGCCAGGCAGTTAATATTCCGCCAGGCAGTCTCCATTCCGGCTTCTCCCCACCGCCAGGCAGTCTCTGTTCCGCCTGCTCCCCACCGCCAGGCAGTCTCTGTTCCGCCTGCTCCCCACTGCCAGGCAATCTCTATTCCGCCTGCTCTCCACTGCCAAGCAGTCTCCGTTCCGCCTGCTCCCCGCCGCCAGGCAGTCAATGTTCCACCAGGCAGTCTCTTTTCCGCCTGCTCCCCACCGCCAGGCAGTCTCTGTTCTGCCTGCTCCCCACCGCCAGGCAGTCTCTGTTCCGCCTGCTCCCCACCGCCAGGCAGTCCCTATTCCGCCTGCTCCCCACCGCCAGGCAGTCTCTGTTCCGCCTGCTCCCCGCCGCCAGGCAGTCTCTGTTCCGTCTGCTCCCCGCCGCCAGGCAGTCTCTGTTCCGCCTGCTCTCCGCCGCCTGGCAGTCTCCGTTCCACCTCGTTCCCTGACGTCATACCCTGTATACATGTCATATCCATTCTGCTTCTCTCCGCGTGCCGCCAGGATATCTGCCGCCGAGGAGATCCCGATGCCCGCCGAGTCCGTGCAGCTGGTCACCGCCTGCACGTGCTGTCACTATTTCGACCTGCCCCGCTTCTTCGCGGAGGCGGACCGTGTGCTGACGCCGGGCGGCGTGCTCGCTATATACTGCTATGGCCTGCCCGAGCTGTACCGCAACGGCGCGCTCTGGACCGAACTCAACGACGTCATGATGCAGGTGAGTTGCAGCTGCTGGCGATCTACGACTTGTGCTTGGAGTCCTGGTACACCTTAAACATGAAGGCTAGCTGGGTTCAGATTTGCTCTTTACTTGCGCGGTGCAGCGATGCTTGCCGTTCTCTTAGAATCAATTTGGCTTACAAGAAAGCGTTATAATCTCCCAGCGGGTGCGCAGTGTGAAGCCTGGGAGCTTGCGTGGAGCAGGAAGTCTGTCTGTCCGCCATTTTGTCCTAGGAGGTGACCGACTACGCCATGTTGTATTTCACAGGCTGAGACGACCGTAGCCGGCTATTGGAGCCTCGTCCGTCGTGAGCTCGTTGAACGGTACAGCGATCCGCGCTTCCGGCTCCCCTACCCGGGCGAGGTCAGGTGGGTCTCGGCTGCACCGCCGGTGAACAGGCCCGTGAGGGTCAGCGGGATGTATCGCGTGGCAACACCTGCACTGGCGAGACGCCGCCGGACAGGGGCATAGTGCTGTCCTGTGTGGGATGGTGTTAAAGTGTGGCGTGATGTGTGACCGTCGCGGTGGCGCACAGATGCCACAGATGGCGTCCACTGTCATTTACTGCCTGACAAGTACACACACTGGACATGCTGTGGTCAGCCTCGCAACATGCTATGCTAATGTTCTTGCGATGGGATTTTCTGCCAACAGCGTTTATGCCACACGCCTGACGTGGGACCGACAAAAATAGTGACCCAAACGGTCTATGAGCTGGCGGTCCTCGCTGTCGCCCTCACTTACTGTAGCTATGCCGGCCATCCAACAAATGACACTACTCACCAAGAATACGGTCTTATTCCATCTCGTTATTCGCGATACGCTGCATGTGTGAAATCCCTCCTCGCTGAAATCGTCATTGCGGATCATTCGTGTAACGACACCACTGCTTGGGCGCGCCCTCTTTTTTCTCGGTTGCACGAACATGTTCAGTGCGAGCGATCGATAGGTTGACCAGGTTCAGAGCGTGGTTTCCCACCACGCTGTGCCCTAGGAATGTCACAACACTGCAGAGCTAATTGCCATCAAAACAGTAAATACATTATTGATGTGCTCCTTAATGAAATTGCCCTTGTTTTCCACTTTGGTGGTAATCTCTAATGATGTGAAGAAGGTTGCGGAGACGGCTTCAGCATGTCGTTCAAGTGATCAGACTTCGGTGCATTCAGACTTTGGTGCATCAGACTTCGTCTAATGTTGCGAGTCTATGCATGTAATGAGTATTTCTGCTGTCATCACTTTTGGTTCGGTTTCTCTCCACTACCTCCTCCACTACCGCGGTCCATACGTCGTCTTCCTCCGACACTGCCCACGCCCTTCTCCGCGTCTGGCCGGGGCTCTGACCCCAGCCTGCCGCCGGCCCGTGGCCTCGAACTGATTGCTGACGTGTGGAAACCGCGGCTGCAGGGACGAGAGCCACTACCAGGAGCAGTCGCTGACGCTGGACGGCCTGCTGGGCATTATCAAAACTTGGTCCGCCTTCCAAACCATGGTGTCCCGCTGCGGCGCCGAGCGGGGCGGTGCCCTGCTGCAGCAGACCCGGGAGCGGTGAGCGGGGGATGGCCGGCCGGGCGGTCCGGGAGTCGATCGACGGGGTGTTCCTCTGTTTTCTGATGTGCAATTCTGCGGCATTATATCGGTGGCAGCTTTTGAATGGCGTAACGCGTTGTGGTATGCAACGTCAAAGCATAGGCTATTGTAGATAAGCGTAGGGATCAAATTAATGTGCCTCCCTATTCAGCACATCATCGCAAAATATGCAGGCATTGAATGCCAAGCAATTTAGACATTAAAATATTGTTCTTCCCAATCCCATAAATGGTAGAGGGTTGGATTCGTAATCAGAATATCCCGATTCGAATCCACGCATTCCCAAGGGGACCATTCAGGTTGTGACGCATACAAGGTCACAGCACCATTCAGTTCTTCGCCGGACAGTAACACCTGATGATGGTCTAAGAGTACCGAATAAATACTAAATTTCGTCACCTCAAACACACGAGTAAACCAACTGGACATGAGTGGTCCCATATAGGAGAGAATGCAACTTTGGAGATGCAGAATGCAGAACAAAGAGATGACCTAAGCTGCAAAGTCAGACGGGCTTTGGAAAAGGCCAAACAACCTAAGCTAAAGGCAACCAATGATAAACAAGCAGCCATTACGAAGCTGAACAATCACAACACTATCACACCCCCAGCTGACAAAGGCAATGCGATATAAGTTGCATTTGTAGGCGGAACAGCATGTCTAGTAAGAGGTAATACAGCAAGCTGAAGAACGATTGCACGCTAACAACCAACCGTGAACTCTGCAGGCTACGATAGAAAAACCAATTACGGCTGTAACGGCTGAAAGCCAAACACCGTGAAGTCAAACAAAGTTGAATTAATCATATATTTCATAAAGTGAATGACTAAATAGCTCCCAATTTCGTTTCACGGGCTCTATTCCATTCACCCTCCTCTCCTAACATTGAGAAGGATCAATGCCGAGAAAAACCTCCTTTCCCGCATCTTAATAGCAGGTTTCACCCAATTCTCCACTCAGCTACCTCGGCGCATTTTACAAAACATACAACCATGGTCATGTTCTGTTCAGGATTGCATAACACCTGACGATGGCTGAATAATTAACCTGCCGAAACTATTGTGTTAGCCATGAAAACGCCAGACGAATGTGATGTTCCAAGAAATTATTCCAGGAGGATGATTCTACGAGCAATTATTCTGTCTAATGTTGATACTTCGTCTCACCTATTTCATAAGTTTGCACTCCGTTTTTCGGCTTTTAACTCACGCCCACCCGGCGGGAAGTTTACTTCCTCTATGGTTTTTCGAGCACAGGAAAAACGTTTCGGTACCAGTTCATCTACAAATTTGACATTCTTTTCGAAAATTGTATGTTTGGTCTACGAAAATCAGTGATTTAGGTCAGGTCAAAGAGGTTGACCCTTAAGAACTTTGATCACACAACTTTTGTGTGGATTATTTGCCATTGTTCAAACTTACTGTATTAATAGAGCATGATGGTACCTACGGTTTTTACCTTTCATAATTCTCGAACCAGGTGAGGTCACTGATCTGACCTCAGGTGAAACTTTGCCATTTCTTGGTGCATACTGCAAGTTTGCACATATCTTTATGCAGCTTTCTATATAATGAAAATAGTCCTAACTCACATACACCGCCATCATACGATCACAGAGCACATGATCCTGGCCCAGGTCATGGCCTGCCTCTTTTGGTACCCTCTAAAAAAACATATTTTGAGCTCAAAATAGGCAGTTTTAACAGGTTACTCTGGGCGCAGAATAAGAATACTCCACTGAAAACATGTGATAACATTCTGATGCATATTAAAGTCACAAAAGGTCACGTGAGGACATTCAGGGTCATATGAGGTTATCCAAGGTCAATAATCTGTCGTCAATAGTGGAGAAGCTTGATGAACGAGTGCGACGTATGCAACCACTTCCTTGCCAGGTTGTGACGTTGGTGACGCAGAATTGTATGTACCAACGTGCCTACTCCCAGTTTGTTGCCAATACATCACCAAGCGTGGAAGGGACGGTGTATGATATGGACAACAGCTCTGCGATTTTGAGTACCTGCAGATTTACAAGACATGATTTCTGACCACGGAAATCATGGTATTGGTCACCTAGACCCGGTTGACACTGCGGTTTTTTCATTTGGATGATGTATAGATTTGACCCAAGGTGACCTCAGATGAGCTCAAGGTTTGCCTCGAATGGTATTTTGGTGTATACAATGTTTTACTCCACAGCTGCATTCAAAACAATAAATCTGTCCCGAGCGCATTGAGAAAATATTGTTCTTGTAGGCTACCGCCAGGTCAATTTTGAACGGTGACCTGATCTGACTTGACCCCTGCGGGCAACAGAAATGATCAAAATGAACTCCGGACAATATTGACGCTTATTTCCGTGCCCTCAATATCTGCCTTGACGTGTAAACATAGGTTTTAACAACATCTATCAAAACGATCGTTTTGTTACCTTCGTGACCTCTGGTGACCTCGCATTTGAAGTAGTCAAAGACTTAGTCTGGGTTCTTCGTAATTTGGCGAGACATTCACAACCGCACCTTTGTTTTTCTTATACGGCGTCTGGAACTTGGATATCCCAGGGAAAGTCAATTTCCCATCGACCGGGCGCGGTTGTTTCACACCCCCGACCGGGCGCAAGTTAATTCCTGTCGTAGTGTGTTAGAGGGAACGTTCCAACTTGGATGAGATTGGGAACCGAGATAGTCATTTTGAGGACCATTCAGTGCAGTGTGTGCAGGATGTGCCTTATACGATTGCGTAATCGATCATGGTGAACTGACTTCGCTGTTTCCCCAGACTCCATGCGGTGCTCTCCAACGGCGACCCGGAGGTCGATACTAACGTTATCCCTGTCACCGTCCGGTACTCCTACTTCCTGCTGATGGCGCGGAAGCCAGCGTCACCCTGATCGTCGCTCGCCGATGATCGTGTTCGTGCTGTGCCGTCGTGGGGCGGTGGGTAGCGGCAGCCGGGGCTCAGCTTGATAACTTAGGAGTCAGTTTTGATGAGGTAGGTGACGTGTTTTCGGTGGCGGGTTAGGTAAGGTTGAGGGCGGGTAAGGAGCGGGTTAGGTGCAAGGATGTAACTTGATGGTACAATATTCTGCTGTTGTAGTCGTGCAACTGAAAGTGCCTGGAGCATGTTGCAGGATCATTGGCGTTTTTTTGTGTGGATATGGTTACGGGAGAGAAAAATACGACCAATGGGAGAATTGGGAGGAGGCCGCGAGCACACTCATGGTTATATAAACTCTTGCATCTGGTATTTTGTGAAAGTCGTGCATTTGGTGGCATCTGTGGGGCGCCTCTTTCTACTTTTTCAAAAGCAGGGGCAAATACATTTCGCTGGCAGTCTTAAGAAGGCAGGATGCGTGGTGCCGCAGCGACGGTCCTTGTCAGCATATAGGCGCGTGTGACTTGTATTTCCTTGCTATACGAAACGTGTCCACATGTTGATATTGCTAATGAGTCATGTGTGTGGTCCACAAGCACCAATAAATATTGTTCTTCGACTCAAGCTCTTGCCTTTTGGACCTTTCTGATTTACCTCCCCTTTCTATTGCATGTCTTGTTTAATAAACATATTGATAATGATGATGGTATATGCCGTTCTGTGACAATGATTTTGTCCGTTCGTTTAGACGACTGTTAGTGTAGCGTCTGTTGCTGTTGAGCGTCATCAAACTTTCAATGACATGGTCAGTCATCAGCACTGATACGTTATGAAACTTTTGTCATTCCAGCCCAAGTTGCGGGTGTATTACAGCGATACCGGGCTGGCCATTACATATTCACTGAATCACATTCAATATCGCGGCAGCATTTGGCGTTTCTCCGCCTCTAAACACGTAAGTTCTCTTTCAGAAATGTAACACACATAAGATATGACATTTTCGTGTGCGACGTACGGAGATATCGCAAGCAAAGCCTATTTACTGAATACTGATATGTTTTCATTTGCTAGTAAGGAAAGCTTTGTCTTCACGCATTCACCGCTTACATTACTGATCAATGAAGTGCAATGGCTGAAATAAATACCAGACAGGCATTGAGCAAGTTATAACCTTCGTCCTGGCTCGCCGCTTTGTATTGCGCCGACCGATGTTGGGGGGGGGGGGGGGAAGGGGGCAATGTGATCCCCCGACATTTTCAAGTTAATTAAGATAGATTTTAGCAGAAAACACCAATGAATTGGCTTCAATAGGATTTTACCATTGGTGCTAGTTCTTATGCTCTAGATCAATAATTGACCCCATTGTGACTGGTCAAAGGTTGAACATTCCAGAAAATCGCGTTTTTCAGCTTTATAACATCACACAGGCTAGACTATTTCTTGTGGTGGCACAAAACCTCGAGTTCTGTTCTTTGTTGAGCTACAAGCACGGTGGTGTCTATTTTGTATGAGATTTAAGCATATTTTTATGATACATGGCTCCGTTAATGTAACAACGTCAGTCCGCCGCGCGTCTTCCCGCGGCATCGTCAGTTACCGCCCACCGCCCGCGCCGACTGCAGATTGCCGTCCAGTGTTCCTGTTCTCTCTCTCTCTCTCTCTCTCTCTCTCTCTCTCTCTCTCTCTCTCTCTCTCTCTCTCTCTCTCCTCTCCTCTCCTCTCTCTCTCTCTCTCTCTCTCTCTCTCTCTCTCTCTCTCTTGCATTTTTAGCTAGATTTAAGTCATCTTCAGACTGAACGGATACCAAAAGGCCAAACCTTGCCCTCGACCTCGGAAGGCATCGAACCACATACCCCTCATGTGTTTTAGCTGACCAATCGTGGCAGAATATCGCTGACGCTGGAACATTCAGAGTGACTTTGGGTGACATGTCATGTGGTGGCTCACCAACAAGAGAAAGGTCAAGGGAAGCGATGCAAAATGCTTGAATGTCAAACGTGCCCGGGTTAGCGGTCGCAAAACTGCTTCCAGGAGACAGCCAGCCTCAAGATCCGCGATGGCTTCATTGAACTTTGTTAACAGTGGATGACATTCAGGATTAAGTCCGAGCCCAAGTGCATGGGGACGCTTAATACTTGAATTACGAGGCTTTCATGGCCGACATTTGCCGAGGCGTCGCTGGAAACGGTCCTTACCAGCTGCCGAGCTGTCAATCCCACTTTTCCAACTCAAACTGTGGCAGACGTATCACACGATGCGCGAAGTACTTGGACAGTCGCGCTCGACATTACGAGGTTAGCTACACACAGTAGTGCTTATATGTGCGGGTACGAGTACATGCTCTTGTCTCAGCCAATTTTTTTCGATCGCTCTGACCCCGGCCGCCGATAACCCAGTCAAACGCTTGTTCACCCGCTGCGCAGAGGGCCCTCGTCAAAAAGATGCAGCAGTACGGAGAATACGGGCCGAGACGCAAATGCTGTTGATGGAGTCACACAAACAAATAAATATTGTGCGATTTTCCGAAGCATATGACGACCACCGCTGCAAAGTATTGTACGCTAAAGCTCTCCTTACATATATATTTCTTGCAAGATTCGTTATTGGTATTTTGGCCGCGATGTGACGAGTCATCATCTTTTCCCCGTCGCGTTGGAGGTTGGAATATTCTCTGTCATTTTGGATAAGCAAGTCTTAAGCGGTCGCATTTGCAAGAAAAGAAGGCCTGTATTGTCCCAGAATGCATCAATTCACCGGATAAGGCCCCTGTTAAAAGGTTTTTGTGTTTACTTGTCAATCTGAAGGTTCGAAGGAGCTGGGTTAATGCTGCAAGGTAGGTGGATGTCACAGATTTGATTTCTAGTAAGATGCGGTACTGCTGTGAAGACCCTTTAGACGGTTGTTGTTCTATTGGCTACATTGAATATGATGTGTATGTGTCAATGGCTCTTCAAGGGTCAATGTCTAACGATCAACAGTGTCGCAGAGAGCGGGAGTATGCACCGACGGCGAGACCGTGAAGAAAGGAATGCGGACAGGGGAGAGAAAAGTTTGTATTGGCCACGAGCATTGTGTGATCATGGAGCGAAACAGCGTTGGATATGATAAGACCGGGGCCTAGCGGCTACGCAACTCATGTTAAATTATAACAGGCATTAAATGTCACACACACACACACACACACACACACACACACACACCACACACACACACACACACACACACACCACACACACACACACACACACACACACACACACACACACACACACACACACACACACACACACAGTCTTTTTCTAATGACTAGGTGTTTATGCTCGCATGCCAGTGAGGAGGATAACTGTAAAAGTACAAACATCATATTTCACATTTCAGGTAGACGACCATTCAAAACAGGTCCAGTTGATGAGAGCAATCTAGAGACTGATTCTCAAGGCAGTTGTCATATCGATCAAGTTTGAATGTCAGCAAAGGAAGCGCACATAGCTGCAACAGCTACACTAACCTCTGTGATGACGGAGGGAAACCTTTGTGGAATGCTGTCGGAGATTGTGTGGCTCAGGTTTGTTTCATTATCTCATGCCAGAATGAAAACATTAGCACTACCAACTGAAGCACGTACTAGTCAGTGCATGGGTGTCGATTTCTCAAAGCGATTGGGAAAGGTGGGGGCAGAGTCGTGGAGGCCGTCAAAAGAGACACCATGTGTAAAGTAGCGCGCAGAATACCGGCAGTCTCAAGTGGTCTTCACAGCAGTACCACGTATTTCCGGATATCAACTTTATGGCATCCAACCATCTTGCAGCACTGACCTAGCTCCTTCGAACCTTGAGGTTAACAGGTCACACAAAAACGTCTTGACAGTGGTCTTTGCTGATGAGTTGGTACATTCTGGGACAATACTGGCCTTTTTATCCTCAATGCGTTACATTGCCACCTCAGAGCGTTATATTGCCACCGCTCTGACATCCTGAACTGACCTGGGACGATTTCACGGAGCCGGTCGGGACGGGGATTGGCTCCAGCAACATCGAGCGACACCATACATGCAATGCGCGCCGTCTCGCCCGATCGTGTCCTCTAGATGACCTTTTCTCTGGCATGCACATCGGCTTAAGACTACCGGTTAGTGGCTTCCACTCACCCGACTCGTCGTCCTTGATCACAAGAAGAGCTCCACGTAGATTATCCAGCTTACCGTCAGAGGCTCCACTCCGCCTTTAGACTTGAGATAGGACGCATCGCCGTTGATAAGGCTGACGGGACAATCGGTCACCTGCAGCGGGTTCAGCTCTAGCGCACTTTGGACCACCAGGGGGCATGTGGGACATCTTTTGTCGTCGCAATTTGACGGATATGGAATCTCTGATGACCACCGCTGTTGCTGTTTATGTTTTGCCATTGAGTTGTGCTACGCCTTGCAGCGTCAGTAAAACGCCTGGTGGCACCCCTGCCATGCCAGCCGCCCGGCCGCCCTGGCGGGTTTGGCCGGGAGCGTTCTCGAGGCTCGCGCTCTGCGTGACTGCTATTCACTTATGTGTGTCGATGCGGAACAATATAACTCGAATCTCGATGGCGGTCGAATGCTACCATTTTCACGATAGTGCGAGATCTCCATTAAGCAATGCATATTATGCTGAGGACAGCTTTCGTTAACTTTTACCTCGGCCATCCAATGCTTTAAAAAGCTGGCGTACATCACTGCCCCGATCCACCTGTGTTATCTGATGCAAAACCTTCCCGCATTCGCAGACTGGTCAAGCATACAATGCAGCTGGCTTAACAAAGGCATGGTCTGAGTATCCGACGCGCTTTATAATACTAATCAATGTGAAAAAAAACAAGAGGAAAGTGATGCATGCTGCGTAGCAGACTGATCACGTTCGTTGCAAGATGTTGAGGCCAGCCACGATTTGATGACTAATAATAAGCCTAGTTATGTTGGCATTTTATACTGTTTAGGATGCCACGTGAATCTTGTCTGAAAAATATGTGAAAAGCACTGATTTAAGGGTCATTGGAAGGGCACTGCGTCACCACTGATCTGTGACGTCTGGCTAGGTATAGTATAGTTTGTAGTATGTTTCTGGCAAGCTCCTAAAGCTCTATCCTTAACTCCCAAAAGCTATCCTGGCTAAAGCTACCGTTGGTTTCATTCTGTGACTTAACTTGCTCATGCGGCAAAACGTCGATATGTTTTCAAACGTGCTCTACACGAGCTCACGCTCACGTTGGCAAGTGCAGGCCAGTTCTAAGCTGTGAGTTTCGTCTAACTGAGATGGTCGTTGTAATTTGTCTCCATTTCCGCAAACTCGTCACCAAATAGCACGCAAAAGCTTCCATTTTTGTCACCGATCATATCCTGTAAATCGGCAGCTTTTTTAAACTCTGCTACTCGGGCCGGGATGGATGAAGAGATGGGTAGGCATAGGGCCATGCTCCCTTGTGCTCCGGGGACCCATGGGCTCCGAACGGGCCCATAACCAGCCGAACAGACGCAGTTCTGTAACACAATCAGAACAGAATTGGACGTCTTTGGGTCTACAGGCGACCAAGAACATTGCAAGCGAAAGGTTAGAGCCCATGAGCAGACTAACGTAATTATTTGCTGATTGAGAAGGTGTTTATTTGTTTCACGTGAGCTG